TTTAATTCTACTCAGCTAATAAATTTTGTGGAAAAAAGTCATTATTTTGTCAATAAAATTTTTAAGCGTGGTATCCCTTTGAGGTACGAAAGTCTCGCAAGAGTCGCGATATTCTATTTCTCTATCGATTTGGCATCTGCCCTTTGTTAATGAGAACTTCAGGAGATGCCACCCTCCTCTCGGAGCTATAGAATCAGCGACGTTTAACTAACGAACTGTCTCGTTTCGCATGCCGAAAACCGCATAAAAATTTCACACCGCGGCGGTTAATCAAAAGACAAGACCGTCTTATTTATTTACGTCGCATTTATATTATAATCGTTTATATATTAATATCGCTTCCTTCGTTTGACCCTCTGGAAGTGGAAGAAACACGATATAGCGGCTGACTTATTCATTCGCCAACCGCCGACGCTGTGATTTAAACGAATGTAAATCGATACTTCGTCCTTGGATGCCACGGACGACCGCGCGGACGATCGGAAAGGAATCGTTTGAAAGTCCTGCTTCGATCGCGGAACGGCGCGCAGAAGTTTTGCGGCGTACTGTACGACATTTACGCCTCGAATGTAATTGAATGTAACCGCCGCGTAACTGCTACTCCCTCGGTCTCAAACGCATGAGATCATTCTGCCCACGATCGCGAAAACCAAAGCACGATTTGAATTGCCGACGAGGGGGAGCACAATCGTATTCGCTTTAACTCACATACCGTCACATGCCGCTCGCGTCGTCGCTTGCGGTAATTTAGCACTGCACTTTACGGTGCTTTCACCGTTCGCTAGTCGGTCGTTCCTTATGAAATACAAAAAGTTCGTTATCATTTCGAGCCACAGTCGTTGATCAGTTCAATTATTAGCATATTATCCCGCCGGTGGGATTCTCCCTCGTGTGGTCCATTAAGATTTGAAGTCAATCTTACTTTCTCCCCGAGAGAGACCAGATTATAAAATGCATAATGAAGAGAGCAGCGCAGAAGAGAGCAGAACTCTCGTCGGCAGAGAATTTTACAACATAGAGCGTAGTATCTCTCTTTATTGAACTCGCCCACTCTGCAAGAACGTGGTGCACTTCCTCGCGTCTTCCTTGCTCTCTCGTAATGAAGCGCTGTACCTTAAGAAGTAAGGTACTGGTCTGCAGCGCGACAGAAGATCTTAGTCACGGCAGAGCGACGATTTGAAAAACCGCCGGTGCTACAGAAGATGTAGATGACAGAAAATTTTACATAAGTCTCGTCTGTCTCTCGTATGCCTGAATTGACGTTCGTCGCGAACTTCCTTCTCTTCTCTTTGGTTTCACGATAAACTCGAGGCACTCGTTGTCGGCCGGCGATCCGGTTGCCGAAACATTCCTGTGCTCTCGTGTGCGGCATCTCTCACATTGCGAAATGTATCACTCGGCCGGCAGGAAAGTACCGATTTCGCCTACGTGGCCGACGTGCCGAACGCCGGAAATTATGTGATCGATATAAATTACGGCCAGAGAAACGGAGAAAGAGAGCAAGACGGCGGGAGATCGGGCCCCTTGGGCATTCCGAATTTTTTCGCCAATCGAACCGTTTCCCACGAATGGAGCGACGGGTGCAATGCAGCCTGCTTGCTCCCGAGATCTCTCGCAGGAACCGGAAGCGCTCACGGCGGGAAATTTCGTACGGTGCAAAAAGCTCATGACCTTTTAATGCCGGCGCCGCGACAACGGCCACGACATGTGTTATCCGTCGGACGCAATTTCTGGTAACGCAAAATTGCCGCAACCATCATGGCGTGACCAATGCACAGTTCTAAAACGATTGTAAGTGTACAATATATATGTCGACAGAGTATAACTCATACACAGCCCAATTTCTTACTTACGCAACACTTTGATTTACTGAATCAACTTGTAAGAAGCTGTGGAAAAAATGAGAGAAAATATATCATGCATGTTAGATTAGGCCGAGAATCGAACCCGGAACCTTTCGCTATCCGAGCGACTGCTCTACCGACTATTAGCTACCCAAATTCACACGCTTCGATACATCTCTCTCTCTCTCTCTGTCTCTCCTCTCCCTTCTCTCTCTTTTATTAATGATCTTAATTATATGAACAGTTTATATAATATACATTGTCGAAAGTGATCGCTCGACCTAGTTTCGCGAGTAGTATCGAATATACACTGAGAGAAAAATTATCTTAAAATCAACAAATATTTCCTTGGTGGGTGCCATTAACATATTTACTTAAATCTACATTCTCTTTACTTAAATCAAATATTGTTTATTTAAATCAAGTAAACAATATTTGATTTAAGTAAAGAGAATGTAGATTTAAGTAAATATGTTAATGGCACCCACCAAGGAAATATTTGTTGATTTTAAGATAATTTTTCTCTCAGTGTATAATATAGTCTTTGCCGAGCCTCGAGCAATTGATGAGTTACAATCACATAAGTATTTACTTTTCTAAATTCTCTTCTCATATTAATCCATTTTTTTATTAATCATAAATATCGTAGATATTGGCTCTTATGTTACATAGTTATGTATGAATTATTTATTTGACTCTTCTGTGTGTGAACGAATAGAGAGGGAAACGTGTAGGAATACATTCAGCGATTGCCAGCGTGATCAATGACGAAGAACAAACGAACAGGCACACAAGTCGAGCATTGAATCGTAGTTTGTGGTTCGCAAGAGATCAGCACGCGGCAACATTTTATATGCTCACAAAACAGTCGTGAGCGAGGCCCGCCGAAGTTAAAAGCCTGTTAATCCACTTAGTAAGCGTTACGCTATAACGTCGCCGCGATCCGACGATTATGCATAAAGGAAAAGTTGCGAGAGCTCGCAACGTTGATCCGGCCATCGATTTGAGAGGCCGATCAGCGCGGGATACTGCCACTGTTGCATAATCGGCGCGTCTAAGCAGCCACCTAGTTGGCATCGTGCACCAGTTCTCAGACCGTAGCATCGCCTTTAAAGTCGTTTAATCCTGAATCGCACGACGTTACAGGCGCGGACGATGATCATCGATCGTCGGCGGTGTCGACGACCTAATCGGAACTCATTTGCGATCAATTCCCAGCCGTTAGCCGGTACATTGTCTCTCGCTTCTCTGATTAAATTCGCACGTTAATTAATTTCGAAGCGCGGCGAGACGAATAGCAAAAGGGCGGGGGAGAGCGAGGAAAAGAAACAGGAGAGAAAGAGAAAGGATTTTTATGTCTTGCTTTATTTTGGAGAATATCGTATCCTGCCGAACTAATTTTCCACATTATATTTAGAGAAGTCTTGCTTCATACTTAAAATCAAAATGTTGAACGCATGTATTTAAAAAGAAACAGTTTATCCATTTCTGTTTTACGTCGTATTATAAAGAAAATTAGATTGTAAAGAGTAAAATCAATATAGTCGGTTTAAATTTGTAAAATATATATTCATGTGTCTCGTAGAAAACAAAAAGCTACTTCAGGAAATTATACGTTTACGTCCCGGAGTAGCAAATAGGCGAGAGTGTAAAATACCGCTGATGGAAAGAGATAAATTGAAGTGGAATATCATGCGCATGAGATAATAACGTAGCTATGTCAATTAAGCCACTCGTACTTGTCGTGAGTATTCACGATAATACGACGTCGACGTAAACTCTTCGTAGAATTTCAAACGGCGGTAATAGCGGCGTAATAAATACCGCGGCGGCATTCCGCTGTCATAACGCCCGAGATATATCGCCGGCGCAGATTGAAATTGCGATGGAAACGGCTTGCCGAACAAACGAATCACGGCGTGTCGGGCTACGAGCACATCGTAGAGTACAAGCTACACGACGAACACAGAGATTGCTGGAAGATAGCCGACCCGATTAGAGCCGCGGAATCGACCTGGGTGCACCTCATAACATTGCGCTATTACACCTTACCGTTATGCAGCGCGTGCTGTCCTTACACCAACGTCTCGATTCTCGCATAGTCCGGAGTTCTCCTCCGCGTTCCCGACGCGTTCGCCGTTTCCGCGCGACGCGTCCAACGACGAGAGAATGTCAAGCCGTAAATAGCTCGTATAGCGCGCAACGACATTCGAATAATACCCACCTGCGAATCGTCGCAGATTATCCTTTATGTAATCACCTCGCCTGATTACGACGCGCGATCTTTTTCTCGATCGCACGCTCCACGCATACCCTTTGCCTAGCTGCGTTGCAAATATCAGCTTCCGTTGGATAAAGTAAAAAGTCTTTGACGCACGTTCTTGCGAGTTTTCACCGTTTCCACTCGGTGACAGTTTCACTTTCGTCGTAATCATTTCACTCGCGAGACTCCTTCGATAAAAGAAACCGGACAAACTCGAAAGGAGAACTCTGAGCTTTGCGATTTCCTAGTTGCAGATCCTACTCTTCATGGGCCTTTTATGGAAAGAAATTGATCTTACTTCTTCTTTGAAACCTTTATCTTTGACAAAAAATGTATAAATGTACAATAAGTTTCTGGCAATTTTTGCGATAAATTTCGGAGAATTGCAAGGGAAGAAGAAGTGTGATTGTATTAACATAAAGTTTAGTTGTAATAAACGAATCAATGCGTTTCGGGTGTAGGAGACTTCTGGTTCTTAGGATCAAATTTGAGCTATAAAAATCTCACAGAGTCTGTGTCCTTCAACTAAAACACGTTGGTTCGTTTATTAGAACTCCGAGATCTTCAAGCCAAAATTATTATCCGCCATTTGTAGGGAGGAAGTGAATAAATGAGAGAACAGCTACAGCCTGCTTTATCACTTCAGTTTTAGAGCTTCTCTCACTTTCGTTTGAGTTATTCCTAAAAATAGCGAACAGGGTCAATCAAGAATCTCCATGCTTTGTTTCAACTCTGACTAGCAGAATTCTACTAAAAAAAATTTTAAGTTAATACCACCAAACTTTTTTCTTTATGTAGGAATTTCATTGGATTGATATCGACAATAATAACATTTAGTTATTAAACATTCACCGCGCAGGTGATCTGAACAAACATATTGTTTTGATTTGTAGAACACTGATGGAAAGAGGCTCGTCCATGCCGTGGCAAGACACGCTCCAAGAAGCCATCAACGAGTTCAGACTGGACGGGACCGCTCTTAGGGAATACTTCCGGCCGCTGGAGGATTGGCTGAGGACGGAGAATTTGCGGACGGGTGAAGTCGTCGGCTGGTCTTACGGTAAGTAGAAACACCGCTCGCTCATGTTCATGCTAACACGGATAATTTACGATCGTTCGATCGTTGCGACACCCTCGTCTCGCGACTCATGGCGATACACCGTACGCTACGCGCGTTACGCTCGCTTTTAGTTAAGCGTAATTACACAAAGCTGCGGCCCGGATCGATTCACGTGACGTAGTAGAACGTACCGTGGTGGTGCGCAGTACCTTTCGACGTAACTTGCTACAAATTATGCAATTTCCTACCGTAACAGATTGAAGGTTGCAGTTCCCACGTGCTACTTTACCGGCGAGCGCTACGAATGTTCATTGTGTGACGACACCCCGCTGAATTATGATTTGCTGTGTGCGGACGAAATTATTGAGTTTAACGGGATGCACCTAGCGACCATACATCTTGCCAAATTCTTAACACCGTTGTTCTTAACGTGTGCGCGCGACAAACCTTGTATAAAAACGATTACATAGAAAAGAGGCACCGGGATGTGTAAAGGCGTGTGTACGTAGGAGCAACGCGCCGCACTCGTCCCATAAATTATGTCGACGCGTTTCGAAACCATAACAGAGCACACTTCGGACGGAATCAAGTTATAAATTCCCCATAAAGCGAGAGAATTTACGTGCAATAAATAAGGAAATGTCGACATCGTCGAGAGCACAAAGGTGTAACGAAACTTCGCTAAAACCAGAAGCGCGGGCTCAACGATGAAAACGGCGTTAGACATCGCGAGAAATTCGAAGAGTTCGAATTTGTGAGAAAGAAATTCGCACGACCGCGCCGTGGAAACGCCGGAGTTCACGCGAATGCGAGCAATGCAAGTCGTTCGAGCGCTTTCTTGTTTATCGTAACGACATTTCTCTTCTCGATGCCGCGTTAACAAACGTGCTCGCGCTATTTCCGCGATAAAACGTAAAGTCGGCACGGCTGCCCCCCCCCCTCCCCCCTGGTCGATTGTGAAGTTTAAGTCCGGTCTCCCACTCCTGTGAGACTAGAAAATTGCGAAAGCCACAGTAAGGAACGAGGAAAGACGCCTGGAAGGATAAACGTCGGAAGGCAGGTAGGATGAGAAGGAGAACGCGCGATAACGTAAATCGTGGGTAGGATGACCAACTTTTAATCAGCCAATTTCAGAACATCGACCTTAAAAATTCAAGACACAACCAAAAAATCGAGGTTCTTTTCGTTGGCTCATCAGATTACAAAATATCTTGTAATATTAACGTATGTACATATATAAGTATACCTGGACACATTAATTATTAAAATATGTCGGTTGAATAAATTAGATTCTTGTAAGTAGGTAAGCAAAATGTTTGTTCATTAGTTAGGTTAGCGTCAAACAATCGTCAGAACATAAACTTCTATTATTTTTAATATAAATCATTAGTCTAAAATTAGATTGATAAAATTCTTGAAATAAAACCAAAGAACAATTATCAACAGAACATAAAAGTAATGAAAAACATAAAATATACATTTTTTTCAAGTAATACATAATAAAATTTTATATTGTTTATTTTACGTTATGTGATAAATTAGAACAAATGGCGTCCCTAAGATCTTTTAGGGGGACGCCTCTATAGAGAGACCGAAGAGGCATGTTCTATTATCGCATTCTCGTTTCCATCGCCATAAACACTCATCGATGTATCTGTCCACACGCGAAGGGACGTTAAGATTTTCCATTTGCACATGCACGCCCGGTTCGAAGAGATCTTGAGCGCGTTCGTGCGTCTCTTCTCGTAAAAAAGCGAACAGCGCGTTCACGCGTTTAATCGCGAGCTAATACCCGCAATCGAGCTGAATCAGGCTCGATCCGAGCAAGAAACTGCCTAAGATTACATGCGCCTGCGTAATGTTACGCAATGAGATCACTAGTCACAGCTGATGCAGTTGCTACCGATAGTCTTTTGACAGGTGGTTGTTACAGACTTGATGAAAGATATGGCGCATTCTATCATAGAGCAGTGAGTAAAATAAGACATGTCATCAATTCAACTTAACTCGCACTTTAACTATTAAAACCAGTTGAAAACTGAAGTTTTATGTGCTTCAAAATGGGCTTCAAAATTTATGAACTCTTCTTGTGACGTTCTAATAAAAAAGTTGCGAGTAATTAATTATATTTTTAATTAAAGCGAAAGCACAGACATATACCTAATCCTGGACATTCTTGTTTTGGTCTTTAAATATAAATATTTAAACTTTCAACATAAAATATGTGTATACAAGTATTGAACATATACATATATTCTATGTTGAAAGTTGAAATATTTGTATTTAAAGACCAAAACAATAAAAATGTTCAGGATTAGATACGTGTCGAGGAATTGGTATTTTTACCTTAATTCGTGTTTTTTTGATGATTGATATGAACCAATACTATGGAAGACCGTTCTCAATTATTAAATTGAGAAAATTTTAATCGATATCTTTACAATCCTAGTTTCAATTTACTAAAAATACCTAGAATCAGTAAAAATTTCTTAGAGGTTACATTTTTATTCTGGAAATGTGACATTGTTCTTCATGTTTTAAGTTTAAATCTGTGTTTTTTTATATTTACCGCAAATACATATACAAATGTTACATACACACAAATGTTTCAATTTAAGTATTTTGAATGTATGTTTTTAGAAAAAAATGCATTAGTTTTTTCTATTATATACTTTCTGCCACGCTGTAAAGAAAATGAAAATCACGAGGTGGAAAGAGGGATTAGTCATGACAAGCATATTTGCCATGTCCCAGCCAGCAAGTGGAAAGACATAACGTAATGTTAGAGAGTTGCTTTGAATAACCAATTTGCATTGCAGAAATTCGTTTTACCTGATTGTAACGATTATGCAGGCAACGTTAGTATTACTGGCTTAACCTGAATTCGTATACCAATAGGCGTGTACGGTGCTCGTTACGTAATCCGCTGCATGCATGTTTTTGTCAATATTTTTAATCAAAACAGTCGGGGAGAGAAAATACAGGAAATGATGCGTAAACCTACGATTATTCCGGCAGGCGAACATACAGCTCGTGCGATAAACAAGAAGCGAGCTCCCTTCGCAAAAACAACTCCAATGGAAAGAGCAGATGCATGGGACTCGTACGTAACAGCACGATAAAAAGAAATCATGGCACGCGGTCATATAATTTCACTTTCAGTTGATCTTTGTTCTCTTTCTACTTGCGGTTTCTACAGTCATAGATGGCCACATAAAACACACAACCACATATAAACAGCACAAAATTTCAAATACTTTATTGGCATTAAATTTTCTGACTAAATATAAATACACGGAATTTCAAATAGAATTTGTACGTTCAAGGTATATAATAATTATGCAAAAAAAGAATATTTTTACGCTAGTATATACGCTAGTATATACACAAAACAATTAAAAAATTTCAAAACTGAATGATTGACGCAAATGTCAAGGAATCGGTATTTGGCTACATATTACTAATTACTGTATCACATTTCACTCGGTAATATTAGTATTATTAGATACTTAGTATTGTCAGGCAAACTTTTTCCCGGCAAAATTTAATCATAAATACAATCGCCATTTTCGAGCACAGTCACGGCGAATACAAAGTAAAGAGTCATGCCGATACGTCACTCGATCTGGATGAAGTAATGTGCATTGTGCGCGATGGTAGATAACAAGTAACATGTTATTACTAAGTAGCATTACGTCTGCATTTTATCGCCTTCTACCGTAGCCACGCAGTGGAGATTGAATCGTACGAGCAAGGAAATCGCGATCTACCTGGCGGGACGGCGAGATCGGTGCACGAGCCCTTTAATGCGCGAAACGAGTCGAGCGGAACGAGTCGAGCCACAATCGTCGCCCGGATAAAGCAACGCCGACGAATTTGACGAATATCCGCAAAGCCGGAGAAACAAAAGTCACGAAAGGAAAGGGAGAGACCGGTGCGCTCCGCTCCGCTCCGCGCAGTTCCCTTTACTCGCCCTGGCACTGTTTTTGCTCCTGCCGATCTCGATTACGGGATTTTAGAGCGGCTCGTGTTGCCTCTCCTTCGCCCTCCAGCGAGCGATCGCTCGATCTCCATAGCGCGCTCTCTTTGGCCACTGAGAGAATATCTCACGAGCGGCATTTAGGCATAGTTTTCTTAATCATTTATCAAGCGTCACGCAGAAAAGCGGACGCTTTGATTAATCGATTATGACACACGAGAAAAGAACGCGTGCGCACACAGACGTCCGTTGTGTTCGACAGGAATCGCCTTCGATCCGGGAGTGCGATGCGCTTATGTAATTTGAGATTACGTTAACCTGTTACAGATGGAGATTTCTGCAAGAGGAGCATAGAGACCGCAGGCTTGCAGGTTTACGGGAGTGGCTTCTACAACGGCGCGACGTCGGTTCGCGCGTCCTGGGTCGCGACAGGCGTCCTCGCGCTCACTCTTTGGATCGTGTCGATGTTCTATTGAGCGCGATGACTTGAAGCAACAATCGATAGCTCGTCGAAAATAACATCGGAGATAACCGCGCGTTCCGTTGCAAAACGCGTGGATACATATTCCGCTTTTCCTGCGACGCGCTCGAGGAGAAAAACTCGTTAACGTTCATCTGCCAGAATACACCAAATCGTAATTGTATTCCTATGGAGTTGAGTAATGTGTTGTTGAATAAAAGATAGCCCATTTGCAAGTATGTATAGTCACACGACAGTCGGCAGCGAAATGATGACGATCGTTGCCTCTGCAATAAAGGACGCGCTAAAGTGCATCCTTGCGTAGCGTAAAAGTACGTCCAAACTTATATTATATCGCGTATCAGATCATGATACGATACATTGATACAATACTATGATAAGTTTTCAACTCGCATTCGTATCTTTGGAGTATCTTTCCCACTTTTCCACTTGTAATACATCAGTATCTTCAGTTCCACATTATCTCCATATGATCATGATGCAGATCGCAGTGGCGTCCATACTGACTATGTCGCGTATCATTTCTTTGATGTGACGGCAAAATACCGACTCCACATTCAGAAAAATCCCTCGGTAGTCAAAACAAGAACGCGTTTGCTATTTGATATTCGTTGAGGAAACAAGTCGTACAGTTACCGTTGGAAATCACTTCTTATCATTTGTCATCTTAACAAACATGTATGAATGTAATAAATAATATTGAAATTTAACAGAGTCTAACCGTCGATCGATTAGTCATGTTGGTAAACGAAAAGTTTTCGGTGTATCAGCATTATATGTTTTCATAACGTCTCACGCGTCGCTCGGATCCTCGCATCTATGTGTAAGAACGCGTCAACAATATAAAAATTGTCTAATTCGTTGTATGCGGTTGGAAGCTATTGTTTCGGACGACTAACGGTATATATCGGGGAACATATAAATTTGTAAAACCGTTATCCAGGAGCGATCTTCCTTGTTCGTTCGTTCTGAGTGACACCGAATAAATAATTAGAGAAAAATTGTTGCTTTATTCTTCCTGATCCTACAAACATATATAGCCTGAAATCAAATCATATTTGTTCTCGTCCATTTAGGTTACATTAGCTATGTGTCCATTACAGAAACGTTGCTCAGAGCAGCAAATTCGAAGTAGCAAGTTGTTTGTTCCCATTATGGGGATTTGCTGATCCATCAATGATTTGCTGATACCAACGATATTAACACAATTCTCTCTCAGAGCAGATCGATCATCAATTTTTCTCTCTGTCCACACTTAGCTGATTATAATGCAAATCTCGATACGGTGATATGGTACAAGTCTGGATGCGGACATTAAGCTGCACATTTCGCGCAATGTAAAAGTGTACCGTGTAGACTATACACACGCTCGTTAATTTAATGTGTTTTACGAAATACAATACGTAGAGTCGTGGCCTTACGATTAAGAGCATGAGGTACTTGTACAAAAACATGTATGTGTCGTGTGAATGTCTAAGCGCATACATAAGTCATTTTACGCGCACGGAGACAAGCAACTCATATATATAATCCACGTTCTATAATTATCAACTCTTCACCGTTGGTATATAAAATAAACTTAATGCCTTTGTTGTAAACGCGACTGGATTTTCCCTGTAAACGCTCACCGAAGCACCGCAACATTCCACACCTAATAATTGCGGTTTTTCTCCGTACCCGCGACGCGAATGATTCAATGGCCTCTTAACAGGCTTACAAAATCGAGGCTCATTATTGTCACGCATCCGATAATGCAACATTTTCAGTGTAACTAACACAGTAGCAGCACGAATTCCTTTTTGTTTTCTTTTTTCTTCTTTCGTCTATCATCTCGCGACCAGAGAACTCGTTAACCGGAAACTCCTTTGTACTTCAGCACAGTGGGGGATTTTATTCGACGATAAGAAGACGCGCCTCAATGGAACATACCAAAATTGTTTGACGACAAAAGCCAGCGGGACGACTCCCTTATCTTGCGTAATTGAAAGTCAGCGAAATCGTACCAGGTGAAATCGCGCTTTTACTGTTAAATTACCAGCAAACTCAAAAATCGAATCCCCTTTGCTATTTTATTGACATTTTTATTGCGTGAGGCCGTTAGATCGCTCGTATACTTTTTAACGATCGTTCTTCGCATATCGTGCGCGTTACTATTCGCCTCGACGTATTAGCGGCTCGTCAATACGCTGCTAACGATTCTCGAAATCGCCTCGTTTCGTCAATTTACGAATAAGACGGAGAAGAGAGTACGGTAGGAGAAACGTGCACGTCAATTCATCACTTAACCGTATTTCTATCTGGTAAGTTATTACAACGTAATATGCGTAACTTTTGATGAAATTTAATATTAAAGTTACATCAATTAGCCATGCACACTTAAGAGGATGCTAGAATCGATGACAAACTCCAAAAATGTCGATAACGTAAAGACGATCTTTATTAAGATAATCACGTTATTCTTTTTGTATCTCTTGTATATATAGATTTTATGTGAATGTGCATTGCTTTATTTTATCATATTTAATTAATTTAACGGAATTAATTTTACTATGTTTGATTATATTTAACGGAAAACCACGCATATATAGAAATCTGTTTGCAAATTTTTCCTATATTTTTGAGTCTCTAAGTTAGGATATGAAAGTGATGTTTTTTGAGATTTTTCTAAGCAAAGCAAACTATTCGTTATATACAGAGTTCTTTCAGTATCAGGCGAATATTCACTTTAACTGACAGCGTCTGACAGGCTAATTTACACTCGAAATGTCAACTTTTGAATTTTTTATCGTTTTTGTCACATATTGAGCAGTGCTTCAATTCATTTTTATACATATTTTTATTGTATAAGAACACAGTTATAATTCTATACAGTCGATACAACATGAACTTTGCGGAAAAAAATCAATATTCTGTTGGTAAAGATTCCAACATCCCATTAGGTTTAAAAAATCTCGAGAAAATATTCAATCGTTACAATCCAAGTAACTAAGTGTACGTGGATTTTGACTGAATCTGAAGAGTATAAACGAACGAACGTCCTGTGTCTTCGCAAGTATACTTGTCGGGGATCATAAACGTAAAATTAATGCCGCGCATAAATATTAATCATCGTAACAACAATGGATTATGCGTTCCTACCAAACCTTCTAATTTCACGAGCTCTCTAATCCAATTTTTCATCGCGACGTGAGCGTAGGACGACAGCTTTCGCGGCCTGTGACAAGAGGTGCCATTATTGTTTCCAAAGACATGTCACTGAGACGTAATTCTACAAAGGCAGTTTGTCCAGAAACTGGTCCGCCCGCATTGCGTAACGAGAAGACGCGGAAATCGAGCGGCCGGGAAAAGAAATGCCTTGCATCATCGAACGTGCAACGTGGTATTTCATTGCGCGTGCGGCCGGAAATATTTCTGATCTTATCACTTTTCGGCGATGTAACGCATACACCTCACGCGTACACATGCCAGCATGAAAGCGGAATACCTCATTTTAATGCCGATCGCGTATATACGATCTTGCTTAACCGTAAACTTGACAATGCAATTTATAAGACACATTCTTCTTCATTGTTACCTGGATTCGCGATGTTTCATTTATTATTAAATTGTTTGTTTCTTTATTCTTAAGAAACCCATGTAAATTATATTCGCATAATTAGTTGCCACAATATCTTCTGCCTCGAATCGCGTGCTTCTTCAATCTTCTATCATATTTTTATATTGATTACACTTATTATATTGCATATTCATTACTTTTTGTATGTATATACTTTATGCTTCTTATTATTAATGTAATTTTTTAAATATATTCCCTCGGTTTGTTTGCGAAATTCAAAGTTGTAACACGCTGATGGAATTATGTTCTCTACCTCGATGAATCAATCTTTCAAGCTGAATCGAAAGGTTTCTTGTACATTGAAGCATAGGCTGACACCAATTTTCGTATCGTTGACACGCTGACGGATCTCGCGACAGTCGATTAAGTTTTCGAGAGTACGGACGATGTAGCGTGCAATAATTCCTCCCTTGCATAATCGAGAAATAATTCGCGTCGGCAGCCATTCCGCTTCCTGTCGAGAAGATATGCGCTTCCATTAGCCGCAGCGGCACGTATCGATCCGGAATTTTAATTCAGCTCCTGCTGAGATAGATTTAAATACGGAAATCTACTAGTCATGAGGAAAGAAAAAAGAAAAATTACTATGGAATCCACGGAATGTAAACTATCTAGATTGATCTATCTTATTATGCAATCGTACGGCGTTCTACGATTAAACATCGTCGAGTTATTTCAGGTCTTCATCCTGTAACCATTTTCAAATTCTTGCTCAACGTTGAGCAAGATATTGCTGCGCGGTGGATGTCAATCGTTATCTCGGTAGCGTCATGCTCAAGAAGGTGATTCGTATGCGCATGCCTGATGCTGTTTCATGCGTCGGTATTAATTTGGAAATGAGAAATCGAGCTGATTGTCAGGAATACATAACGTTAGCCGACGGCATAGGCGCCAGTTACCAGGATACACCTGAACTCGTAAATTCACTCGTATTTCAATCTTTCGGCTCGACCGTCTCCTTTGCAGTTGATAAACAAAACAGATGTTGTTATTACTGACTATTATTTTACTTTGACTACAAACATCAACGTAAATATTTGTTACTACTCTGAGAGAAAAAATAACTAAGCAACAATAAGCATTTATTTGGTGGGTACTTATTTATTTATTTATTTGTTACTAAATATTAGTATATAAAATAACTTTATTAATTTATATACCAACATAGAATATTTCTCAAATAAGAAAATATACTTATTAAAATCCTAAGAAAACCTTAATTACTCATGAAATTAGTTGTTTTATTTAAATAAAAGAATTTAGATTTAAATAAATATGTTGTTATAATATTCACCCCGAATAAATATACTAATTTTTGGATATTTTTTCTCGCAGTATATATGATGCAAATAGATAGTTTAACTATATATAAAATCATGTTCCCAGGTGTTACATTAGTAAAGTTCCATCATTGCATCCGCTTCGATAGCACATTACTCTACAGAAATATTTGTCGTATTATTCTCCGAATCCTTAATTTTGATAACGCACGACAAAGCTTAAAGTACTAGTAGGGAGTGAAGAATAACACTGAAGAGAACGAGAGAGGGGGAGAAAGATTTGTTCTCTCGATAACGGCAGAATTAAACAACGCTGATGGACGATATTGATGAAAAAGATTTCAGGAGCCGATCATAAATCGCTCGAAGTGGAAACCGGCCGAAGATGGACCGACGGACGGACAGTCGACGCCCATGGGGACGGTTTGGCGAACTGCCCCAAAACTGGTCCGACGACTTGCGTAATCGGAAGACCGGGAAGTCGTGCCATACCTTTCCGCGAAACGTCTGCGAGGCTCACAATGAGAGGCCAGCCGACTGGACGGCCACTCTCGTCCACTTTCACCGTCGCGCGCGTACAGTTTTATGGCGGTTTTAGTCGGTGCGCCGCGACCAGAGTATCGGCGACCGACCAAAATCGCGAAAGAGAGAGGAAAAAGGGACGAGAACGCGAGAGAAAGAAAAAGAGAGAGAGAGACGAGCAATTTCGCCGGTCTGCAGTCCGGAATCGGATGTAATCGTTTTAATTGAAGCCCTGGAAAGAAGCGGCCGTTCACGATCCGACATCATACTCGACGAAATCGTCCGTTTCGAAATTGTGCGTGAAAGTGACGCCGAAAGCAGATCGCGATCCGCCCTCCCCCCCCCCCCT